TATCATCGCAATCCATAAAGGCGTTATGAAGTTATGCCGCCTACAAAGTTGCGGAAACACAGACAGACACACACACACACACACACGCCAAAAACAATACCTCCATTTTTCATGGAGGTAAAAACACGAACCTCCTTCCCAAAGGTAACAAGAATCGATATGCCCCAAAGATTACTAAATGTCTCCTAGTGGTGTCCACCTACAGTAACTGTAACCCATTGCTCCCACACTACTACTTTCAAAGTGGCTCCATGTTTACAAATTTCTGATAACCTGGCATTATGCTACCAAACTAATTGGTAAATAAACAATACGTTTACAGGAAATCCATGTTTCCGATCATCAGAAAGTATCCCTTAACAGATTTTTCAGATCAAACAGGTTTTCCATAATGGTAAATAAATGCAGTTTTTAGGGCTTGGAAACCGGATTTTTCAAAGCCAATATTTATCTATGTACAAAGTGAGTTGAAACCATACTCCCAATGTATATTGACCCTCATGGAGCAAAAATTTCCCAAAAATTTGACAGAAAATGGTTACTGGAAGGGCCCTGGGCTGATTTTTAGAGTACCACCCAGAAAAAAAGACTCATAATTTTGGGAGCTTGTTTCTGCAGTTTTTAATGACCAAAGTAAGAAATACTGACTCAAATGTGCCAATGTGAAGCAGTGCGTGTCAATATCACAAAGATTGCCTTTTTCTGAATATTTCCAGTTTTGCTGCCCAGAAATCACATTGGATGGCTTGGAAGACAAAGGACCTAGCTAGAGTAAGTTGGAAGTGGCATATGTTCCAGTGTGCCACATGGTTTAGATCAGGGAATGCCATCATTCTGACATGGCATCTGTGGTATGTAGCAGGTTTTTTGTAGGTCCTTCCCCCTATAGTTTTTATCTCAAATAGGCCCTGATATCAGAATGGACAGATGCCTGGGTGATTGTGGGGTTCTTAGTAAGGCCACAGCAAGTAAATTTTACGGATGACATCAGCGCGCATTAATTTTCGCCTGATTTTGAAAAAAAAAAAAACAAGAAATTTTATTGCCTTCTGACAGTGGTCAACATGCTGAAAATGGGTAAAGATGTCTGTTGCCATGCAGGAACGTGGATGGTAGATAACTATGAAGAGAGGAGACAAGAAAAGACTCTGATTTAATGTTTTGTTTCTTACTTTGATACAGTGATATGTGATGCTATAATGTTCCCACTGAATCAAAACCATTTGTACAATAATTCTCAAAATTTTAAACTGTAGGAATCTGTTTTTTTCGGCCAGATTTTTTTTTCGCTGTTTCCAATTTCAAATACTTCGAGTATAAAACGACAAAACTGTACTACGAAATGACAGTAAATGTGAATATCAGCCAGATAGCCTTATAAATGCATATTAATATATTAATACTAGCTAATTATTACTACTAAAAAAGTAATATTTCTTGTTTTGCCACCCAAAAATTGTGTTGGGTACCTTTAACTTGTGACCTACTGGACCAAATTGAAATACTGATGTCAACAAGAAGTAATCAAGCATCAGGATATTTACATTGTATCTAAATCACGTGTCCAGGCTACTGTAAGTCTATCTGCCTTGTATAAACTCCTGCCAACCACCACTGGAGAAGTTGTTTACTGTTTAGTAAATACAGTGTCTAACAGAGAGCGGTTTTTCTCTTCTTTTTGCAGTTCTACTACAGAAAGTAAGGGCTGGAAATACCTGCTCATCATCATCATCATCATGCCTCCGGATTAGTTTATACTAATCCGGTGAGGTACACTTGATAAAGTTACTCCAGTATGTCCTATCTCTCATAGCGGACACTAATGCAGGCCCTGCGAGACCAGTGTCTCTCTCTAACATGGACAAAAGTGTAGTATAAGGACGTCCCACTCTACGTCTCCCAGTAGGGAGCCACTGTACTAGTCTACCAGCTGGTATATTACTACGAACAACATGCCCTGCCAGGGCGAGTCTACGTCGTCGGACTACAGACGAAATGGGCGGGAGAGAGCCATAGAGTTGTTTGTTTGTTAGATGTTGTCTCCATGAAACATTATACTAGCCTGGGTACCATCCTACTTGTATGCCGGGGCTCCCACACTCGCTTCCCTAAGAAGTTCTTAGGGAAGCGAGTGTGGGAGCCCCGGCATACAAGTAGGATGGTACCCAGGCTAACATTATACCTGCTTAGGGATCAAAATAACCACATGCAACATGCAATTCCAGGCCTCGAAATTAACTTTTTTTTACTACTGTCCCAGAATTGTCCCAAAAATAGATTTCTGCTGTCCCAAACTAAGAATGGACTGTCCCAGCCTGCTTTTCTGGAAATAAGTTTATTGCAAAAATAAGAAAACAATAACTGAATATGCCTGAATTTGTACAACTTGAAGTCCAAGTTTTGTTAGTAAATTTCCATTATTCTTCCCAGACGGTATGCACTTTAGGGAAATACATGATAGTATCATGGGTGCGGCACCATCTTCGAGGCGCCCCTCCCCAACATTTGGAATCCCTGATTGGTCAAATTTGAATGTTTGTCAGAGTATTATGGACTGCCGGCAGCAGGATGGATGAGCCACACCAATTTAATTTGTAGGTTCTCGGATTTGCCTCTTAATTTTTTTTTCTGATTTGCAAAAAATCAACCCTGAAACAACTCAAATATGCTCATATTTTGCCCCCCACAGTTGAGAAAAGTCCTTTTCTTCCTTCAGTTTTTTTCATCCACCAATGCAGTGGTTTGATTAAAAGTTCAAAATTTATTGTTTAAATATTAACCCAGCCTTTTGTGTTGACTTTATGGCTCCTTTCGTAGCATTTCAGGCTATAATATGATGCCTAGACAATCATGTTTTTATTTTTTCATCCTGTCGCTTCATATTTTTTCTGAAAAAAATCCAAGAACCAACAAATTAAATAGGTGTGGCCTAAAGAGGTAAAAAAAATGGCAACTGTTGTAAACAGGGATTTCGACTTGTCACCTCTTCCCAGTGGAGCTGCAGCCAACAACTGACAAAGAAAAGGCCCTGTGTTGAAAATACCACCTTACAAAGTGGCCAAGTTGTTGACATTTTCTGGGGCTTGGACAGCATTTTGCACTATGTACCCATAACATTCTCACGGCGGGTTTATGAAACATGCCGCGAATAGCGTACTAACTTCCCCCTTGGTCATCTAGCTGAGGGTCTGCATGCCCTTTTTTGTAAGGCATAATTGGACCTTTTTACTTTTTTAGTCTTCATAATCCGTAGGCAGCCTCCCCAAAAATCAACGTAATTCATAATAGTACATTAGCTACAAAGCGTAAAGTCGTAATCAGCTTTGAGACTTCAACGTAATTCGTAATCGGCGGCGAAAATTTTTCGTAATCCATAATCACTACACCCCCATGCAGGCCCTCCTTGGTAGTGAGAGATGTCCCTGTCCAACTGGGTGGTAAGCTGGACTCTGATTGGCCGTTGGGGATAACTAAGTTCTGCACCACTGCAGCTTGTCTGTCAGAGCTGTCAATCATCTGGGACTGTCTTGTTGGAGACATGCCATCACCTGTAAGAGCTTGATGGGTAGAAAGTCTGGTGCCAGAGTGTTTGGATGGGGGAAATGCTTTCTTTGTCTTGGCGTGAGATCAAAAATTTCTGATGGCGAGACAAGCTAGGGAAAGACAGTCCTTCTACTCTAGAATAATCCCTTACAGAAGGTACGGTATCTGCTGTGCCATTTTAGTAGACATTTCTTTAACAGACATATTCAGATGGTTACTTGCCATATACAGTACAGATCTCGATTAACTTGAGTCTTCCCTTCCCATGCGTTTTACACACGTTTTTAACTTGTTCATTTTTTGTGCCCAAGTCGTGCACGTCTCGTTTAAATCAAGATTGAAACCTGTTGTTCAAACTTGTGCAAAAGCTGTGTGAAGTTTCAATGTCAATATTAAAAAAAAACTATTGTTTAACGTTTCATCACTCAGGTGTCAGGACATGGAGCTAGAAAAGGTTGATCAGCTCGGAAAAATCATGTCCCTTGCATGGGTCCACATAGAGCTGTGTACCGGTACGCAGTACCGATACTGTACCGGAAAAATTGATTAGGTACAGGTCCAAAATACCTAATCCCTCAGTACCGGTACTGTACCTAAACAATTTCACACCAATTTTATGCCTATTTGTGACCTCAAATGTTTAAATAGCTGGTTAACAATGGGTGCCTGTGTAAGGACAGTGTGTTCATGAAAACAAAAACATCTTAGTTTTGCCTATATTTAATCTGAGCATTCGCCATAAACAAAGAATAAACCTTAACTATCAAGTTTATTTATGTTTTTTTGTTATTGAAGGAGTTCAGAAGAGCATATAAATTGGTCGAATTGTTCAGGTACAGGTTCAGGTCCGGACCTGTACCTAAACCTGTGTACCTGTACCTGTACCTGTACCTAAAATTTGTTTAGGTACACAGCTCTAGGTCCACACAATAAAAAGTCTAGGGACGGCAGTTTTTTCTAGGGTCGGCTGGGAAACAAGAAACACAACATTTTTTTTCTTCTTAGGCCTAAGAGGGCTAATTCACTATTAGTGATGCATACCGGTTCACTGGACTTGGATCCGGACTTGTAAGAATGTTTAGGTTCAAGTCCAAAAAAACCTAAAAGTCAAGAACCGAGGCCGGACTTATTACCATAAAACCCCATTTCACAAACCCCTTTTCTTTCCAAACCACCTAAAACCTTCCGTAGATTGTAAAATCTTTGCTGCAAAATGAAGAAAACATTGCCATCAGGCATCGTCAAGTGTCAGCCTCTATGTTATGTGGCCAAAGTTTCACCCATACAACATTGCAAGGTTGCCAACATGCAATTTTGTATATGCCATTGGTTTAGGTCCGGACTTACAAGTCGAGAACTGACCCTAAACCTATGGACTTGAATCCGGACCTGAACCTAAAATTGGGTTTAGGTATGCATCACTAATCATCATTATAAGAAGAAGAAATCTGACTTACTGTTGAGTTGTCTGTGGGGCATGTAGGCGTGAATGTCCATGGGTGAGAAGATCTCGCTGTGAATGACCTGCTTGTCTTCCCCGGAGATCTTGTGGCAGGAGTGGATGGAGTTAGTCTGCCAGTCCGTCCAGTATATGGTGTCTCCGTACAGCGTCAGCGCAAAGGGGTGAGGTAGAGATCCTTCCACGACCGCGCGGCGTTCCGTCCCGTCGAAGTTGGCGTAGTGGATGAGCTGGAGCTTGGCGTCGGCCCAGTACAGCCGATGTTCCTCGTAGTCTAGCGTCAGGCCGTTCGGCCAGTAGATGTTGTCGTCGACGACCACCCTCCGCCCCGTACCGTCCATCCCCGCACGCTCGATTTTAGGAACCTCCCCCCAGTCTGTCCAAAACATGTACCTGCATAGAGGAGAAGAAACCAAAATTAGTTTCACTTCGAAAACATGAGCCAATACAAGAAGCTGTGATACCCCCTACATTTTCAGAACTCCAGTCTGTCCAAAACATGTACCTAGAAAGAATAGAAGACACCAAAATTAGTTTCAATTTGATAGCTCCAAAACAAATCTAGAGACAATGCAGTAAACAGTAGAGGGGATTCATTCCTCAAGCTAACCGACATTTCACACAGTCATCCTGACATTTAGAGCCGCATAGTTCCCGTTTTGAATGTTTATTCAGCCTGTTAGACTACATGACATGAGAAAACATAAACAGTGAACCAAGAATTGAGGTGTTCAAAAACTTGTATTTTCTAAGAACTATCGTAGAGTGGAACTCACTGTCACTAAGTACAGTAGGGGCATTATCACTAGATAGCTTTAAACAACTTTTGCAGTTGCAACATCTCGTTTAAGTCTGCATTTCATATTTAAGGGCCACAACTCGTCTATAGTTTTCAAATGCTGCATTAGAAAAGTTATCAGGTGAAATTCTGCTGCAAAGTTGACCAAACATCCACTGAAAATCGTGATAAACTCCGGTTTTGTGCAGGCGCAGTACGTTCTGCTGACAAGCTAGTTTGTCCAAAACACGTACCTGTGTGAGAGAGAGCATGGAGGTAGAAAAACAACACTAAAATCAATTTTACTTTGATATGTTTCTTCAAAACATGAAATATGAAAGCACCTTTGATATTTCATGCAAACATTTTGTACACAGCGCCGAGGTGAAGTAAACAAGTACCAAAGCATATCATTCCCGAATTCCCCAAAACACTTTACCAGTAAAAAAAAATTGTCTAAATGCCATACTGGTTAATATCTATGAATATGACCTACCAATAACAAAATCAGTATTTTTTCACTCTTTCACTCAAGTTTCAGAACATTTTTACATGGCTAGTACTTTTGTACTTTTGCCAGTTGACCTAAAATGATAAACGGTCCATATAAAGCATGGAATTGAGGTACAGGCACAAATATGTTTACGTACACAATGCTACCATTGATTATCTGTCACCCCACACAATTTAATTTGACTGATTTTGTGATTTATGACCAGATTTATTGAATCAGTGCCATGCCGCGATATTTACCACACAGAAATGCTTTCAGATCTTCAGAAATTGACTATAAGCAAGCCCTTTGGACCTTTTATTCGTCATCTACTATTATACCGACAAAATATTATTGGGGAAATATTGCCTATATCATTCTGATAAACCTTTCATGTTTTGACTCATACAGGAGCATAAAAAAAACATGCTATGTACTTGGTAATACCACATAGGTAGAACGTACGGCACCTGCGCGAAACTTAGATTTTTTTTTACAGTTTTTGTGGGATGTTTGGTCAATGTTGCATCAGAATTTTGCTTATTGCAGATGAAACAGGACTGGTGTCTTTTCCAACACAACATTTGAAAAGTGTAGACGGGAGGTCATCCTTAAATCCGCAAATACGACATTAAATACGACATTCTGCCGAAGTGCTTAACATAAAACATTACTGGTCTTTGTGCAGTCATAGTATGTTCTGCCAATGTACTATTTAGAATAAAAATGATTGAAGGCAAATAATTAATAAAATTAATGCCTATCTAGCCTTTTTGGCACAAGTATACAAATCTCAGCAATATTTTCTGAAAGCCATTACAAAAGAACACTGTCATCTAAGTAAGGCCACGGCAAGTAACTTTTATGGATGACATCAGCGTGCGCATTAATTTTCGCCTGATTTTGAAAAAAAACAACAACAACAAATTTTGTTGCCTTCCGACAATGGTCACCATTCTGAAAATGGGCAAAGATGTCTGTTACCATGCCGCGAAGGTGGATGGCAGAGAGGAGACAAGAAAAGGCTCTGATTTAATGTTTTGTTTCTTACTTTGATGCGGTGATATGTGATGCTGGCTGTGTATGTGTTGTTCCCACTGAATCAAAACCATTTGTACAAAGATTGAGTAAAAATTTGAAAAAACTGTAGGAACCTTGTTTTTTTTGGCCCGTTTTTTTTTTTTCGCCCGCTCGCATTAGTGTTGGAGTCTGCAGAGGATGTCATCCATTAATTGTACTTGCTGTGGCCTAAAAAAGTCTTTCTAAACCTGACAATGTCTTTTGTCAGTTATGACAGGTGAAAATCTGTCTGCCTTTTAATCTACCTAACCAAACATGATGTTTAATTATCTAGTTTAATGACAGTGATTGGGGGAGTAATTGTCTATGTTCTGACAGACTGAAGGAAAGCAGCCCTTTCTGCTGGCTCCAGTAAGACTGCTGAATCACTAGACACCAAATGCACAGATCCTACCATTTACATCAAGCTTCGTTAGTTTTGAAAACGCACTGATGTGCAATGTACAAAATGACTAATAAACTGGTGGATGTCCCAACTACTACGTACCTAATACCAGCCCAGAAGAGAACAAGAAATAGCCACGCCTAACCAAGGGTTGAGGTGTTCAAGAATTCATTCTATCCTAGAACTATCGCAGAGTGGAACTCACTGTCACCAAGTACAGTAGGGGCATTATCATTAGATAGCTTTAAACAGTGTCTAGAGTTAGAAGTTCAAGGATTAGGTGTAACAAGTCGATCGGTGTAATATAGCCAGCTGCTGCCGCGCCGCGTGCCTGCGAAGCTGGTGTGTTACGCCGGAAGGCGGTTGTACCGGCTATCGGGATACAGATACCTTTGTTGATAACCCAGGGCCCGAAATTCATTTTTGGGAATAGGTGCACTCAACCTAAAAAATTGGGTGCACAAACTTTTTTGGGGGTGCACCATGTAAGATAATATCAGTAGAATGTCAGCAAAAATTAACATGTTTAGTAAAACATCAGTTCTGGTCAGGCCCCATCTTTTGGGAGGCAGCCACAAGAAGGAACCAAAGCTTCCGCCAGTCAGAGATCACTTGACCCAGAAATTCCACTTTTCCCAGATGGAATCTCCCAGATCCAACCCTGTGCAATCTTCCAGGACTGACGGACTAGTCTATTTTTCAATACAAGGGGGGTGACACAACATCTTGTCAGGCAAAAAAACAGATGATTAGAAGGTGCACGAACTGCTTCAAACTACAAATTATGCAGTTAAGTAAAAAAAAAACATTTCTTTCTTTGAAAATGTTGGAAAAATTAATTCCTTGCTATATGGAGAAAATAAATCTTTCCCCTTATCTATTTCAATGGAATAGCCCTTTGGTTACAGTGCATTTCTACAATTATGAAACCATTCTAATATCCAAGCAGATCATACGGTGGCAAGGCAGTATCCATTGGCCAGAGGAGTGTCTACCGAAGTGGCGGCACAAACTTCTCTGGCTAATGGATACTGTCTTGCCACAGAAAGGGATCTGCTTGGAGATTAGAAACATTCCAGGTGCAGTGTTGACTGTATCCCCCCCTCCCAGCCAAACTTGGTACATCCCACCCTTGTTTTGGAGGTCAAGTGCCAAGGTCGTCTGTTTTCTTGTCATTGACTGTCCACCGTGGGAGACACTAACAGCAACACTAAGACTTCGGCCAAGGCAAACCTTCCTCTACAAGGAAGAAGGATGTACTGGAAAGATAACGTTCAACTATGAAAAGAACAGGGCCAAGAGAATCATAGTATTTGTCTTGATGGCAAATTTCCTAAATAAGTAATACTAATAGATTATAAGACTAACTACATATATAGTTGCTTTGGAATATACAATTTGTGTTACACCTAAAAAAATTCAAGAAGCTGTTTGTACAATATTGATAAAAAAGAACATGTTTTCTAAGATTAATTTGTCCTTTTTAAAATCATCTTTGTAGGTATATAAATAAAAAGAATACACCATAGCATTGGTTCCAAACCTACATCAAAAGGTCTCCTCTTACACTTAACACAGATACAGGAAAGTTGGTCAATGTAAACAAAGGGGAATCTCCGCCCCCCCAGCTTTTGGACATGTGCTAGGCTTGGGCGGCGCTCTTTGTAATGTTGTAGCATAGAAGTGGCAGTAAGTACAGGCATTAGCCTCCTGTACAGAGTTTTCTAGTGGCCTGGAGTCATTTCTACAAGTTCTCCCATCAAAATGAAAATGCCATGATCGTAGTAGCCTGGGTGCCAAACTGTTACCAGGGCCAGTATACAGGCTAACTCATCAGCTCCAGGGCCAACATGTCTCAAGGAAATTTTAGTATTTTTACCATAGACATCCTCCTCAGTTGGACACTGTATAGTCTGGCATCCAGACTAGACCGTGTATTGCACCTGAGATATCTGGCATCCAGGCTTGTCTGTGTACAACGTTTTGCCTTGAGAAGTCTGGCATCCAGGCTAAACTGTGTGTAGCCCTGAGAAGTCTGGCATCCAGGCTAGACCATGAATTGGCCCTGAGAAGTCTGGCATCCAGGCTAGACTGTGTATCAGCCCTGAAAAGTCTGGCATCCAGGGCCAAGCTAAACTGTGTATTGGTCCTGAAAAGTCTGGCATCCAGGCTAGACTGTTTTAGCACTGAAGTGAAAAGTCTGGCATCCAGGCTAGACTGTATATCGAGCCTTAGAAGTCTAACATCCAGGCTAGGCTACACAGGCATGAGATTCGGCCACAACCGCACCTGGGCTTCAAACGGCCGCGTGTTTGCGGACGGGAAGGCTCGCCGCAAAAGAAGCGACGCTACAGTTTGCTACAGGAAGGACGCTACAGTACAGAAATGTGCTCCCCACACAGGCTTGTTTGTGCTACAATTAATAAAGGAGGCCACGACTTGTCAGGTCTTCTCAGTGGTAGGTGGGGAGAGGGCAACCTTTCCGCCAAGAATGCCAAAAATCCTAGAAACGCTAACACCGAGTCCACAAGATGGAAATGCCACATGCTAGCCAACTTCAGACCGCTGGCCTCTGAATGCCTCTCTTGTGTTTCGTTTCCTCACTTTTGACTGTTAAGAAATGCAGTAAGAAAGCTACATTTTGTACTTGTTGTTTC